AATGCGACTGATGACAGCACGTTCTGTCACAGAGCGGGTCCAGGGAGCAGGGTCATGGCTAGAAAAACTCCTGTCATCAGTTGCTCCCTTCCCTTTAGTGCTTCTAAAGATTTGTGGAAGGGCAGCCACCCATTCTCTTGGGAGAGCCGGATAGAGCAAAGTTAGCCAGCTTGACATGGGGAGGAGCAAGGGGGCAAATTGCGTAGCTTATTTCAATCTTGTTTCGAAATAAGGCGCTATTCTGAAATGTCCCTTATCCCTCATGCAATGAGGTTTACAGGGACATCAGAACAGTGAGCCAATTATATTTTGATATAACGGGCTTGCTCTTGTGATGTGGAATAGCTATTTTGAGATACCTCCTGTATCCCGAAATTGCTTCGCAGTGTAGAAGTAGCCTGGGAGAACAGGAGAGAAAATCAGGGCATGGGGGAAAGAAATGGTTGGTTGTAGAAGTTGAAAGGAAGACCCTGAGCCAGAAGGCCCGACTCCTCTAGAAGCACTCTGCCCTTAGCAAGAGGTAAATATGACAGGCTCAGAGATTCATTTTCTTACCAGAAGCAGACAAGTTACAAACAGTGGGCACAGCTCTTAGAGGGCCATTAAAACTAGCAGAGCTGCTTTAGAACCACTGGCACTAGTGAGCTGTGAAGGTGCTCATCCGTCTGTCTATCCCTCATGCTCCTCAGGACTCTGGGTGCTGCTAAGTGTCTGAGAGGAGCTGGAAACAGAGAATGGAATGTGCAGCAGTAAACACAAGGCCACACCCTGTACTAATGGACTCCTGGAACTGGCCTTAGTTTGAGAAGGGGGAGGGACTGGAGAGCAAATGGAGAGCGAGGTAGGTTCAAAAGCGAATAGGAGGGAGGTTTTTATGTCTTAGGTAGCTGCCCCCACAGCAAAGGAAGAGCAAGTAAACCAGCCATCTCTAGCCACAGTCTGTGTTAGCTCAGCTCCGATACGGAGACATTTTAAGGGTGGAGCAGGGCTCTCTCAGCCAGGTGGTGTGTTTCAACAGCCCGCGTGTGTGCGTGTGCAAGCTCGGCTCTGCCTCAGCACAGCTGCCAGGGCCCCGGGCAGGGGAACTGGAACAGACAGGCAGCACTAGGTGTTCCATACACCGTGCTAATGTGTGTCTGTATTTGGAGGGAAAGAATCTGAGAGCCTTTTGAATCCAGGTAAAGAGGGCAGAGAAAGCTAGAGCTTTTCTAATTTAAGGAGAGTGAGCATCTCAGGGATTGTCTATACCTGGGAATCATTCCTGAGTAGCTGCACGAGAGACTCTTTTGCCAGAGTGCCCTGTTCCTGTTTTGTTAAAGGGCTCGTCCATTGTTGAAAGTTGTTGCAGGTTAACTTGGGTTTCTTGGAGGTAAATTGCTGTGCATCCACACATAAGTTTGTTTTTAATAATCTACCTCTGCATTAATAAACCCACTTTGAAAGCAAGTTTACTGACATCCAGGGTGAGTTCTCCCCATAACCAAAGCAGGGGTGTGACAGATTTGGCAGACAAGCAGGGACAGATATGGCAGTTTCCTGCTACATCCTTGGGAGGCCTTACCGATTGTATATTACATTGTATATATAATTGAGGGTCAAGGGTAGTACGTAATTCCGTGGTGAGGGTGACCCACACCTCCTCCAGGAACTAATGAGAGAGGGACAGGCAAAGGGGGATTTGTGTATGTGGGGGTGGTGGGGTGGGGGGAG